AGGGGTTTTTGTGATAAAGTTCCCAACCAAGCATGTTTATTATCCTAGGTTTAGGGGACATATATCTTTCACCAATAAGCCCATCACTTTAATATTTATTATAAATAAAGGAAACACTCATGTATATCCCAGTATTACCCTCAACCATTTATACCCAATTCTTTGTAACCCCAATTTAATCAATTTTGTCCACAAAAATCAGACTTTGACCACAAAAATTCAATTTTGACTTTTTTTGGAGCATATTTTAAAATGCTCCAATTTCATACTTTAACTTAATTTAATTTCAATTTGACCCCAAATTTCACAAATTATTCTATTTTGACACAAAACTTTTTTTTTTCACACACATTTTTTTGTCCAAAAAAAATTTTTTGCCGCCGGATTCCGGCGTTGACTATTTTTTTTTTTTTTCTTCCGGATTTTTTCGCCGGTTTCAATTTTGACTTTTTTTTTAGCATATTTTAATATGCTCCAATTTCATCCTTTAACTTAATTTAATCTCAATTTGACCCATAATTTCACAAATTATTCAATTTTGACCCAAAACTTATTTTTTTCACAAACATTTTTTTTTCAAAAAAAAAAATTTTGTCGCCGGATTCCGGCTTTGACTTTTTTTTTTTTTTTTTCTTCATGATTTTTTCGCCGGTTTCAATTTTGACTTTTTTTTGGAGCATATTTTAATATGCTCCAATTTCATCCTTTACCTTAATTTAATTTCAATTTGACCCCAAATTTCACAAATTATTCAATTTTGACCCAAACCTTTTTTTTCACACATTTTTTTTTTCAAAAAAAAAAATTTTTGCCGCCGGATTCCGGCGTTGACTTTTTTATGTGTTTTTTTAAGCTTTTTTTCTTGTTTGGTTTGTTTTGTGTTTCCACGTCCGCCGCTAAACGTTAACCGTAATTGTGCTGTCAGTGACAGTAAATTAACGTAATTATACTGTCAATGATAGTTAATTGACGTAATTGTACTGCTGTTGACATTACTTTTATGTAATTGTGCTGCCGTTGACAGTAAATTAATGTAATATTATTGTTTTTTATTTTTTATTGTTTCTTTTTTATTTTGTTTGATTTGTTGACAAGTCAACGTAATTATATTACTGTCGTTGACAGTAAAATAACTGTAAACACAATAATATTACTGTCAACAACATCAATATTATTCTTTTTTTGGGGTTTTTGTTTTGTTTGAGTTATTCACGGAGTAACGTAATAATAGTACTTTCTATTATTGTAATATTACTGTGGTTGACGGTAATATTACTGTTGTTATAGTAATATTGGTGTCAACCACATCAATATTATTATTTTGTTTGGATTTTTTGTTTGTTTGAGTTATTCACGGAGTAACGTAATAATATTACTTTCTATTATTGTAATATTACTGTGGTTGACGGTAATATTACTGTTGCTATAGTAATATTACTGTCACTCACAGTAATATTAATTCTTTTGGTTTTTCTTATTATGTTTACATTTGTTGAACGGTCAACATAGTAATATTACTTTATTACACAATAATAATGAGTTTTGTTGTGTTAATATTAATGTGCTAGAGATTAATATAGCAATATTATTGTGTTAAACTATAGTTTAGTTAATTTTACTGTTTTTAACAGTAAGATAGTTAATATTACTGTCAATCACAGCAATATTGTTGTTTAAACGGAAAAAAAATAAAAAAAAGTAACAGAAAAAAAAATAAAAAAAAAAATAAAAAAATTTAAAAAGTCAACGCCGGAATCCGGCGAAAAAATCCGGAAGAAAGAAAAAAAAAATAAAAAATAAAAAAAAGTTGAAAAAGTCAACGCCGGAGACCGGCGTTGACCGCCGGTTAACACCGCAATCCGGCAAAAAAATCCGGAAGAAAGAAAGAAAAAAAAAAAGTTGAAAAAGTCAACGCCGGAATCCGGCGGGAAAAAAAAAGTTTTTGAAAAAATAAAATTTTGAAAAAAAAAAGTTTTCGGTCAAAATTGAATAATTTGTGAAATTTGGGGTCAAATTGAAGTTAAATTAAGTTACGGATGAAATTGGAGCATATTAAAGTATGAGGGGTTATTTTAGTCCTTTACTAAAATCTGGACCATGTGTGGACTTATTGGTAAAAGAGTTTTTTGTCTTGATCTCTTTACAATTAAATATTTATAATAAACTTTTTCATTATTAAAAAAGTCGGTTGGCTGACATTACCCTACCAATCGACTTTTGAGTAAACTGAGTATTACGACATACCCATTTATGCATTGCTCGATTAAAATTATTGAACCCGACTGTATGGGTCGGTTAATTATCTTTTATCGGCTAAGAAAAGTGAGTCAAAAGTGAGTCGAGTTCAGAATTCTATGACGCGGGTTCGTTTTACAACAAAAATGTGAGTAGTTGAAGGAAATTTTATTTTGTAGCGAATTGTTGTTTTATATTTTGCATATTGAACAATTGTTGGAACTGTGATTGGACCATTCATATATACTAATTAAATAACCAAATATTAGTATTACTTAGTAAATCTTTTTTCCCCTTATTAATTGGCAGGCAGATGTTATCATTATTTTTACTAATTTTAATTTATACCGATGTTATCATTACTAGGGTAATTAAATATAAAACCTGATTATTTATACTGGGTGCATGTGAACCGCATATTTACACATAATCGCACACTCCACATCTATGTGTATATATACTTAGTAGATGAATATTTAATCAGATCTACAGTTAAAATCCATTCTGTATAAATAAACAAATGTATGATCTAGCTCCCCTTATTAGTGATGTTATTAATTAATATAAAACGTTGACAACAATATTCATGGTTATATATATATATATATATCTGTATATATATATATATGTATGTATATATATATATATAGACACACACGGTTATTGTTCGATTATGCTTTTAATAAGTATTCATATCATTCTAGGGGCTCTTTGAGGAAACTCCCTCATTACTTTTTTAAGGGAGAGAGGTTCAAAATATTTCAGTCCATTTGAGAAAAAGCCACACCCGTTTTGAGCCGTTATGGGGATGTTTGTTTCTATTTCCAAAACTCATTTCCAGTTTTATACTATTCATAAAGCCGAGATCATGTTTGTTTGATAATTTTATTCAGAAAATCCAATTTTTCTTATCAAATTTCTATTGAAGATGCACTATTCATGCTTTTTTCAATTTTCAAACCTACTAGACCCTAGTAACTAACCTATATATTTTATTACACCAACTCATTTCTCTCTCCTTGTATACATCACTTCTCATTAATATTTACACTATTTCTCCTCTCATTTCTCTCTCCTCAGTAATATCTGCACTCTCTCTCCTCTCAATTTCTCTTTCTTCTAATAATAATAATAATGATAATAATAACAACAATAATAATAATGGTAATAATAGTAATAATACCAATAAATAAAATAATAATAGTAATAATAATAATAGTAATATTATTATTATTATTATTATTATTATTATTATGATTATTATTATTATTATTATTATTATTATTATTATTATTATTATTATTATTATTATTATTGTTATTAAAAATAATATTCA